ATATTTGCTACACCTGCCTCTAAACTATTTGCTGGAATAAGTATCATTGCAGGTGGCGATTTCTATCAACTTCCACCAATAAGGAGAAAACCAGTATTTGAAAATTTCCACAATGAAACATTTAACCTGTGTCATCCATGGCATCTTTTTAGAATGACAGAGCTTATTGATAACATGCGCTCRAAAGATGACCAACCATTTGTTGAAATGCTAAACAGATTTCGTACAGCTAACCAAACTGAAGAAGACATYAAGCAGATACAATCAAGATCAATAGACCCAGAGGATGAAAATTATCCAWCAGATGCCATACATATTTATGCYGAAAATAGACCTGTTGATGAGCACAACAATAAAAAATTAGCTGAATTACCTGGAACAATGTTTAATCTTAGAGCAACAGATCAGTATCCACCACATGTCTCTCAAACAGACATTGATAAAGTATTATYGAGAGGTCGTTCTGAGACTGGTGGACTAGATTATGATATACATGTCAAAGAAGGTGCAAGAGTTATGCTAACAAGCAATATCGATATTGCAGACAGACTCATAAATGGCCAAATAGGTACTATCATTAAGATCCAAGTTAATCAAAACACACAAAAATCAAATGTCATTTATATTAAATTTGATGATGATCATGCTGGCAAAAATGTGATTGCTAAAATCTACAAACCAATTTGTTAAAGAAAACAATGTTGTTCCCATGGAGCCAATTCTAGCTAAAATCAAAATAAAGCCTGGAAAACCATCTTCACCAGAAATTCAAAGGCTCCAATTTCCAGTCACATTAGCATATGCAGTTACTATACATAAAATTCAGGGCCTCAGTTTAGATAAGGTTGTAATTAGCTTTGAGCTTATAAGACAAAGGTCATTTAACTATGGACAAGTATATATGTTGCTTTAAGTCGATCACGTTCCATGAATGGTTTGTACACTTTAGGGCAAATAGARGCTAAACATGTTAAAGCAGACCCAAGAGTACATAAGGAATATCAGAGATTAAGAGACACATCACCACTTGAACCACCTAAAGCTTCCCCACAAAACACTCAAAAGTTAACTATTTGTCTTCTAAATGTCAGGTCCTTACAAAAGCACAGCATTGATGTGAAACATGATGCAAATCTTTTTGATACAGATATGATATGCTTTACAGAAACACAGCTTTTACCTAGCAGCAATGATACTGACATAAGAAATTATCTTCAACCCTTTACATTACTCAGGCAAGATCATGCTACAGATAAGTATTCCAGTTTAGCAGTGTGTTCAAAAGCTCCTTAGAAATAAGAGAATATCACTACATTCCTGAAATAAATGCAATAACATTTGCAGTTGAAACATGTAACATGGTACAAATAAACATACTTTTATTATATTGCAAAAATGGGCAAAATATTCACCAATATACACAAAATCTAGAATTCATACTTAACCGACAGAAAATTGATATCATTTTAGGAGACTTCAATATGAACTTTCTTAACGATAGTCACGTCCAGGCAATAAATACTATCACGCAACGTTTAAATTATACACAAACTGTTCAAGGTCCTACATTTATATCAGGAAGTTTATTAGACCATGTTTATATAAGAAAGGATATGTGGAACTTAAGTGATATTTGTACT